ATCTTTTACATTTTAACTTTATTTGAGACAATAATTCTTATATCAAAACTTAAAATAAAAGAAGAAAACCATTTTTAATCAAATTTCCCTACTTCGATTGATGAGACATATGCTATTAATTGCAATAATCAATAATACGGACAAGCCGAATCGGCACACAGTCTATTAATTAAGAACTGATATAATTATATATATGCATATTCACTTATGAATTATTACTAATTGTAAAACCAAAAAATGACTTTCATCTCTTATTTGTGTTTATAAAATAAACGTTTCTATATTTCATTTAATATTTTTTAAAATAAAATTTTATTTATATATATAATTTTTGTAAAATATATTTAAAAAGAAACCGACAATACAAACGTACTATAAAACATATTAAAATATCCAAATGCATCAAAATATGTACTCGAAATTTAAACAGATTTTTTATTATAACGCTTAATGACAAAAACAAAAGATTTAAATATAATAATTAATAGATTATGAAAATAAGATGATAAGCAAAGTATATGAAAGTTTTCGATGTTACAATTTTACATATTTTGTAATTATAATAAAGCAACGATTTAGTTTTCGATCATGCAACATGGATCAACAATCGTAAATCGCCGTTTGCAGAGATCAAAAATATTAAACTATCGCATGTACCCGGTAAAAAATTTTTTATGCATGAATATGTATAAATGTGTCTAAACATACACAAACACGTATAAATATTCATAAACATGTATAATTATATATGAAATATGTCCATACATATTCATACATCCCTTTTTCTTTTGTAAAATTACTTTTCAGTGTAATAAAAATAGTGATAGTAATGTGAAAACATCAAAAATAATTAAAGGGATAATTTTTGTATTGTTCGTTTTAGAAAAAAAACAAGTTTGTGTGGAAAAATGAAAAAGAATTGCTCATACATAAATATACGTAATGTTATATATAATTATACATAAATAACTTTTTACATTTCTTCAAACTTGATTTTTTCTAAAATAAATAGTGTGAAAATTACTCTTTTAATTATTTTTTATGTTTTATTCACATTGCTATTATTATTTCTATTACACTAAAATGTAATTTTACAAGAGAAAAAAGGATGTATGGACATATTTCATATAAAATTATGTATGTTTATGAATATTTATACATGCTTATGTATGTTTATACATAATTATACATATGATAAATTTTTTACCGGGCAATTAATCAAAAGAATCAAGAGTAAATTTGTAAACAATCAACGAAAGGAAAAGTACCACATTATTATATCCGAGTTATTTATCTGAGAACGTAAGCAAGACATACATATAAAAAAATTAATTAATATTTAGAAGGAGATACATCCGAAGCAGAATTAAAGCGCGCCTAACTTCAAGCCGCAGCACGACGTGCATCAACGGGAATACTAACGAATGTGTTTTACCGCGAAACTTCGCAGAACGCGGTGAAACAGTTAATCGAATGAAAAGTGCATCTTCCCGTAACCTGCGAAAGGGTTGAGCGAGTAAACTTGATCGAACAGGGACGGCGTTAATTAATCCATATCATCGATCGATTGCAAAGACATGTCTTTGATCGATTGAAGGTGCCATATTTTTTTGCAGAAAGCATAGACCTGCTTATATAGATAGATATTGCACATTTCCGTTGAAAATGTTGGAAGACAACCGTAATAAATAATGCCCATTTCTACCAATGCAGATTAACTTTAATCTCGGTTTAATTCACTCTTTATCTCTTTTAATAAGTAAAAAAGGATAAAACATCAATTAAATCGAGATTAATAACAACGTGATTGTAGTAGATTTGAATCGATCCGTAATTGATTAATTACGTCACATACTTCGATTGGATGAATTCACTTCCTGATTAATTAATCTCGGATCAATTCAAATTCACACTGTAATGTAGAAACGCTAAAATTAATTTAAATTGAAAGAAATAAGACGTTAACATTTTTTAATTGATCATGTATTCCAGCTAACTAAGAAATTTATATATGTTTCATTATTATTTAATTTACAGATTTATACTTATTATAGAAAAAATTATATTTATGCATATAAATTATTCAATAAAATTACTTTTTGCATTAATAAACCTTCATATTTTCCCGAATGATACTCAACTGTTTGCTAATTGACCAATTCAATGCATGGTTGCCTGCAGCGGAATGTTTATATTTTGCAACGTTGAAAGTTTTCTTCACGCTGATTGGATTATACTGTTAGATCTGAAAATATAATCCAATCAGCTGGGTGAAAAAACTTCCAACATAAACATTTTACTGAACGCGGCCAATAAACACCGATCGCAATGCGATAAAATGAGACGTTGCTTCTCTATCTAATGCATTATTCTAAGAAAAAAATGCTGTCGATTCAATTAAAGTCTATATTACGGGCTGTCACTAGCATAAGTGATTAATTTATGTATATTTTTATTGACATAAAGACATAAATTATTATTTCAATAATCAAGGCCTTTATGTCAATAAAAACCCTATAAGCGCATATTATTTAATATTAAATAATGTTACTGTAATATCGTATAAACATTAGAAAGTATTACAACAGCATTTACTTTAATTTGTAAAACTGTTACATCTGTTCAGTATAAGTATACGTTTAAAAACTAAAAATGATTTTTGCTCTCAGTTGTAGAACTGGATATATTAATACTCCTGTAATATTAAAAAAATGTTTATGATATTTTCGAAATATTATAATAACATTATTTTAATTTTTTAATAATATTCATGTAACATTCTAGGAACATTTTGCGCTTATAGGGAATATATATGAATTAATTACTTATGTTAGTGACAGCTCGTAATATAGATTTTAATTGAATCAACAGCATTTTTTTCTCTGTGTAGGTTTGTTCGCGTCGCTCCAACATGTTCCAATATAAGTTCTACAATAGCTCTTACTCACTCCAACGCTTGATAGAGTGAGTAGGAACTATGATAGGAGCATATTGAAGCACGTTGGAACTTGCGACGAGAATAAACCTATTAGGTCTGTTCGCGTTGCATGAAATCCCCAAATATTTTTGCACTTAAAATGAGATAAATATATATTTGGCCTTGAAAAGAGAGAAAACGAAGATGCCGAGTGCCAAAAGTGCAAGCAACGCGAACAGACCTATTGTTTAAAGAAGTGTATTATTTAGCGCATACTGTTAGAAATGTTTGTGAACTTACAATAAAAATTTACAATAAATTTACCCAAGCAGAACAACAAGTCATTATAATATCAAAATAATGTCAAAATGACTCCAAAATGATCATTAAAAATTATTTTTCAATCATTTCCGATTCATTTTAATGTCATTTTGATGTTATCGTGACTTGTTGTTCTGTTTGGGTACAAACCATATGTAACGTTTTGTTGTAATTTCACAATATTTGTAAATTTACAATAGAAATTTTTGTGAATTTACATAACTAGTGCGTGCCGTGTTTGCGCATTTGAGATTTGCATATATTGTAATACTTGCAATACTTTACCACAAAATGTTATTGTAATTTCACAATACAACTGTTTAAATTTACAGTTTGTTGGATATATAAAAACTTCCAATACTTTTGGAAGTTTACAACAGAAATTTCTTACAGTGCACGTGCTGTTTAGAGTTCCTCTTATTAGAAGACCTCTAGTGCTGTTGGTGTAAAAGCCAGAGAGTAGGGAAATCTCTATAAATATTAGAAAGGCTAGAAATTCAAAGATTCTATAATAGCGTTTTCGAATGGGAATTGGAACACTTCTCAGAAAATCTACATCTTTAATCAGAAAATTTACATCTTTTCTCAAAATTTTCTATATAAGTTAATTATGAAATATCGTAAGATTTCTAAGATTTTAAGTATAATTTCTGATGAAATGTTATAAAATCTAACAAATTAAAAAATATTTTTTTTAAATTATGGGATGAGAAATCTCAGAATATTTCAGAATTCACATGTATGAAAAATTTTGAGAGAAGATGTAAACTTTTCGAATATTTTTGAGTATTTTTGAAAAATGTTCCAATTCGTATAAAATTCGTAAAAATTCGTAAAAATTATGAGAAAAATTTTCACCAGGGTAAGAACTCCAGTGCTGTTGGCGTAAAAGCGAGAGAGTACAGATATTGGAAAAGCTAGAAATTCAAAGATTTTAATAGCGTTTTTGAGTGGGAATTGGAACACTTCTCAGAAAATCTACATCTTTTCTCAGAATTTTCTATATAAGTTAATTATGAAATATCGTAAGATTTCTAAGATTTTAAGTATAATTTCTGATGAAATGTTATAAAATCTAAAAAATTAAAAAATATTTTTTTTAAATTATGGGGGATAAGAAATCTCAGAATATTTCAGAATTCACATGTATGAAAAATTTTGAGAGATGTAAACTTTTCGAATATTTTTGAGTATTTCTGAAAAATGTTCCAATTCGTATAAAAATTATGAGAAAAATTTTCACCAGGGTAAGAACTCCAGTGCTGTTGGCGTAAAAGCGAGAGAGTACAGATATTGGAAAAGCTAGAAATTTTCAAAGATTCTAATAGCGTTTTCGAGTGGTGGTTCGGTTAACCAATGTTTGACCCGAAAGTATCATAATCTCCAATCAGAAATCAAAATAATCCGACTCAGATTAGTTTCAAACCCACTCCAACTCCACTCGAAAACGCTATAAGATCGGAGAAAGTCGACCGTAATTAATTTATCGCGAATGGAACGCGTTCAGATCAATACTAATTGAGCAATTAACCAGCAGCAGACACGATATAACTTCTAAAGGTTAAATTTCATATTCTGTACTCCGTAACTTATTTTTCAAAACACGCACACATTAAATATTACGTGCGAAAAAAAAACTCTTGAACATTACGTTGCAGACAGCTAGAAGAAACAACTAATTGCCACCGTTTCTCCTGTCTATTTACGATTATATAATTATGATTTTCATACAGGTTCTATTCTGTGAGTTAATTGACCGTTGTGGCTTGTGGGGATCATTTCAAGTCCTCCGGGTCATCCCTAGGCTCTCCAATGTTGCCGGGAAAAGTTACGAGCGTCGATCACGTGGGTTTGTTGTGGTTTGTTTGGTCCAGTCATTCGGTGTAAGATAGTTGATGGTCTATCCGGTGTATCTTGGTGTATCGAGTGTATCTACAAATGGTCAGGCACTATAGTTCTCATTCAACTCGTTCGAGATCATAGCGCAGTGCGGCTATATATTGAAACGGATACCGGCAACATCGAGAGGCGTCGTTTTTCCTTGCCGTTCCTTGCGTACTTTCGGCGTCAATCGAATAAGTTAGGCATCATACACATAACACAGAGAACGTGTCCCATCGTCCGGCGTTGTTTGTTTATTCTCTCCTCTGTGAATAGGTTTTTTTACGTTCGTCCTTGTCGCAGCATGCGAGATTAACGTAGTGTAATGCTGTCTCAGCTAATCTTGTAACACGATATTCACGTATCAGGAATCTAACCACAAAGTACTGGTGAGTTACATGGAACGTTGGGAATAGACGATTTAAGGACGGTTCAAAAAGCTTCTGAAGCTTATCAAGGCATCCATTTCCTCCCTGCAGCGATATTGAATCGTAAAACGCTTTTTCCTGGCAGTGTATGTTGAAATAAATCAATTTTCATCGTCATGTACTTCGTATTATGAGGTTTTTTATTTCTGCATTTTTTGAATAGGTATACATTAAATACATGCAATAAGTTAAAATGAAATAAATGTACGTTTTAGGCCTGTTCTTTTTAGCTAAACTTTTGCACCAGTTTATCTTTCTTCCTCTTCTTTCCTTCCGGAGAGAAGAGGAAGAAAGATGAACTGGTGCAAAAGTTCAGTTAAAAAGAACAGGCCTTTTATTTCAATTTATTGCACCCTGTGCATTGGTTCAGAGAATGCAGGAACAGAAAACAGACATTTTGGATTGAATCAGATTGAATAAATGTACAGAGTCGAATTCATTTTAATTTGTTAATTAATGAATATCTGCGAATCTTGAGTAATTATTATAAATGTAGAATATTTATAAATATATCGAATTGTACATACGTTTTATTCATTTCTTATCTCTACTGTCTAATAGGAATGATAGCATGTGAAAAAATTAATTTATTTAGGCATACTGTATTAAGCATAATGTTGCATTTAATATGATTGCAATAAGACAATTTTAATAGTTTTGGAACAATTTATCTACATTTTATCAATACAATACAAAGTATCATTTATGCTCCTTTTTGAACACTTTTATACATATGAAAAAAAGAAAAGCTTTACTTCATAAGTCATATGGGATATATTTCAGGTATTAATTTTGAATAGAAGAATTTCTATTACTTTTGATAATGGGTGACAGTTGGGAAAATGATGATAGAACATCATCAAGGAGATATGATCGAGGTTATGATCAAAGGAGAGGAAATAAAAGCGAAAGAGACAGTCAATTTTATAGACGCTCCAACAGATCATTTGGAGATAACAATGACTCAAGTAGACCGAATTACAATAATGATTTATATAGAAGAAGTGATGAAAAGTCAGATAGTACAAACGGACTTGTTATGTACATTGATAGCAGTAACATTGGAAGACTCATCGGGAGGGGTGGTAGCAAGATTAAAGCTCTACAAGAAGATAGTGGTGCTAAAATTAATGTAAATAAAATATCCTAAACAATGTAATAAAATATGTATTGTAAAATTTAATCCATTATATTCAATTCTATATTTAATATATATAACAGATTTTCTTTATCTTTACATAGATCGACAGACAACATAATGAAAATGGACAGAGTGCTGTGACACTAACTGGTACGGATAACGCGCAACAACGAGCTAAGAGTTTAATAAAGGAGTTATTAACTGAAAGGGGTGTAAATGAAAGAGGTGTAACTGAAAGAGGTGTAACTGAAAGAAGTGTAACTGAAAGAAGTAATACATACGAAAATGAATCTGTGCAAAAAACATCTCAGCCTGAGGAAAAGGAAGAAATTGATTGGGCTAATTTTGATTGGGGCAAGGCTAATGAAGAATATGTATGTTTCACACGATAATAAAAGATAAATTACAATATAAGTGAGTACACAAATATAACAATAGTTTTTTTTTTACAGGAGAAGCGTCAGAAGCAGAGATGGGCGGCTTTGCCTCCTATTATAAAAAATTTTTACAAAGAAGATCCGGCCATTGCTAATATGCCACAGTCAGTGGTAGCTCATTTCAGGAAGAATAACAATAACATAGAAGTTAGACATGTTTTTGAGAACGAAGGAGGTTCCGATGAAAACATGAAAATACCAAATCCTGTGCAAACTTTTGAACAAGCTTTCCATGTAATAAAGCAGTTGAATTCATAAGTTCATTTATTATTTTAACACATACTGACATGTTATTTCATTTATTTTGCAGGCGTTTCCAGATATCCTTAGGGAAATACGAAAACAAAACTTTGAAAAACCAAGTCCTATACAATGTCAGGCGTGGCCTATTCTACTGAGAGGTCAGGATCTAATTGGGATAGCGCAAACTGGAACAGGTTTGAGTGTTTTTATTAAGACTTAAGAAATCAGTATATGAATACATCAAGTGCGATAGAGAATGCCATCACGGTCAAAGTTAGATATTTCGAATAATATATATATTCTTTATTAAATAAATTTATTTCAAATATGATTGCGCGCCGATAACTTTCGGACTTTCAACACAATCAGTCTGAAAACGCTAATAATCCCCCCTAAATTAGAATTGTTCGAGGCGTTGAGTGGCTTGCCGCTCGGTGCGATTGATTCGCGATCTGTAGATCCGGGTTCAATCCCACTTGCGCTTACATACGCGATTTTTCGCATTTTATAAGGAGCCGGAAATAGCTCCATCTGGTGATTAACCACGCTTAGCGTCTTTGAGTCAGCACTGGCCAGCACCATCTTCGACGCCAATTAGCACTTAAATTTATATCCTCGAAGAATGTTGATAAAACATATAGATTGTGTATTACGATTAAAAATCAAATCAATTCATTCGAATATTTATATTAAAACAATTAATTGTTTGCAACACAAATTTTATATATATATATATATAGAATAAAATATTTGATTTATAATATTTTATAAGAAATAAAAAAATATATTTTGCATATTATGAAGATATATATATTACACTTTGAGAAACCTAGAATCGATTGTTTTTATTTTGCGATCTATTATATGCGTCTGCATAAGAGAATAATTACGATTTCAGGAAAAACTCTTGCCTTTTTACTGCCTGCTTTGATTCACATCGATGGGCAAGTAACTCCACGCAACGAGCGTCCTGGGCCAAATGTTCTTGTTATGGCTCCAACGAGAGAATTGGCATTGCAAATTGAAAAGGAAGTAGGAAAATACTCTTACCACGGTATTAAAGCGTAAGTTTATTTCAAATAATATGTACTTATATCTTTAACTTCATAATATGTTTTGATTGTAAAATATTTAAGGGTGTGCGTATACGGTGGTGGAAATCGCAAAGCACAAATAGACACTGTGACAAAAGGTGTGCAAATTGTAATTGCAACTCCCGGAAGATTAAACGATTTGGTTCAAGCAAATGTATTGGATGTGTCGGCTGTGACGTATCTTATACTCGATGAAGCAGATCGTATGTTGGACATGGGTTTTGAACCTCAAATTCGTAAGACTCTTCTGGGTGTACGACCAGATAGACAAACTGTTATGACAAGGTATATAAGTTACATTTTTTTAAAATTCTTACTATTTTTTAAAATGCGATTCTTTTAAGAAAAAAAGAAAAAAATTAATCATGATAATTTTTTATCCTTTTAGAATCTATATTTTCTTTATTTCTATTTGTAAAGTTTATTAGATATGTTACTTCTTTAAATAAATGATTTATATTACCTCTCTAGAATATATAATTTAGAATATAGTTTATCTAAAAATTCATGTATAATATCAATATATTATAATATTAATAAATATTACATAATATATAACACTCATCCTCAGCGCTACGTGGCCCCAGGGTGTACGACGCTTAGCCCAGTCATACATGAAAAATCCGATTCAAGTATTTGTTGGATCACTTGACTTAGCAGCTGTTCATTCTGTAACACAGAGGATTTACATGGCTAATGAAGACGAGAAAACAGATATGGTTAGTGATATCACATGTTTATACAAAATTGACTATAAATTATCTTGGAGATGTCATATTAGTTTAATATTATTATTAATGTAGATGCATCAGTTCTTCCAAGAAATGGGCCCTCACGATAAGGTCATAGTATTTTTCGGTAAGAAATCAAAAGTGGACGATATCTCTAGTGATCTGGCTTTAACGAATATCGATTGTCAGAGTATTCACGGCGATAGAGATCAAGCAGACAGGGAACAAGCGTTAGAAGATTTGAAGACTGGAGCTGTTCAGATCCTTCTCGCGACCGACGTGGCTAGTCGAGGAATCGATATTGAAGATATTACGTAAGTTTTACATATTAATACAATACATTATTCAAGATATATCAATATATTTTTATCTTCATTTTAGACACGTATTGAATTATGACTTCCCACGGGATATAGAGGAATACGTTCACCGAGTCGGTCGTACTGGACGCGCAGGTCGAACAGGTGAAAGTATCACTTTTATGACAAGACAAGACTGGCATCATGCTAAAGCACTCATTGATATCCTTGAAGAAGCTAATCAGGTTAATAGATATATAAGGAATATTTTAATTTTTAATTTTGTGTAAATAGAGTCTACCAATTTATACTTTTTATTTCAGGAAGTACCTGAGGAAGTATATAAAATGTCTGAAAGATATGATGTATGGAAAAAGAAAAAAGAACAAGAAGATTCATATGGAAGAGGCAACAGAGGCGGTAGACGCGGCTATCGTAGGATGTAAAATGATTAATTAATGATGCTAGGACTTAGATTACATTGTGTTTAGTATAATCAGTATCAGATTTAACATACACATTGTGATACTATTTTTAGTTCATATAATTTCGGAAAGACTAATTTCATAAAACGAAACAGTATTCCTTTTCTTTATTTTTTTGTTGATCATCAAGATTAACTATATGTAACTCAAGATCTACTATAATTCAAATGTTTTATTGAAATATTAATATTTAAAAAATGCTTGCAACAATTAGAATAAGGATAAAAAAATGCACTATAATTAGTGACATTTAACTACATTTTTTAGTTATTAATTGCGAAATATAATTTTGTACTACAAAATATTATTAAATGTGCTAATAATTAGCATATCTTTTGTTTTTCATCTAAGTTCTTTCTTTATATACTATATTTTATATTTGTTCAAAAGATTGTTTATAACATTTACGATATTTGAGTTTGGTTAATGAAAATATTTTTTTACTTAGCTATAATTTATATTTATTTTTTAATCCACAACACAGATTATTTTAAGTATAACACAAATAAATATATTATTCATATGTTACATAAAAAAATACAAAAATGAGTAGCAAGAATATATATATTTCATCAATTAGAGATGGCATCACCAAAAATGTGTTACAAGAACATAATAATTTTACTATATATATAACTTAACTTTTTCTAAAAGTAATTCTATATATTAGTATCCAATCAACTTTATATCTCAGATGTATATCTTCTGATATTTCAAATTTATTATAAAAAAAAGTATTGCGTTAGGTTCGAAATTATAGTAAAATACAGCAACACTTTAAATAAAAAAAAAACAAATTCATTAAAATTGATTCATAAAATTCAAGAAATTTTTGTTTCTTCGTATCAACATCTAAGTAAAGGTTTCACAAAAATACATAACTATTAAGATAAAATACGATAAAATAAGATGTATAATGTATTAAGTAGTTGTTTCGCTAACAATGCAAAAGACGCAACCATTTAGAAAGAACGAATGTTGGAGCTTAAGTATAGTGGATTCAGTTGTAAACCTTGAAATTTTTCGTTCTCGTATATTTCTCGGCGAAGATTTTGCCACTTGGAGTCGGTATTGAGAACGCTATGTCGTCCAACGACATCACGTAACCATAGAAGAATTTGGCTCTAAAACAAACGAAGAGAGATATTTTGAACAATGTAAGACTTTCTCAAAGAAAGTCGACATGTATGCGTTAATGTGCAGTTTACCTCAAAGTATCGACGAGTTTAGTGGCTATACTCTGTTTGCGATGACTCATCGCGGTCCAAACGACGTTTATGCCACATTTTGTAGGTGTACTCTCTGCGGTGCAACAGTTAAGTTCGATTAGTTCAGGAATCATGCGAAACGCCGTTTTGATATGTTCTGCCACCAATACTCCGAGAACGTTTTTTTCGCGTATATACAAGAAAATCTGCAAGAAATGCATTTTTATCAAATTATTTCTATATTAAATTCGATGATGTGCGATAAAAAAATGTGTTTGTAAAACATAAATGTTTGTACGGTAAAAATGATGGCTCGTATTCAGAACGCGCTTACAACGATGTTAGCTAACATATTATACTTTACGTCACGCATATTATAGAATTTCAGAGATAAAGACGCGCTTTTATCGATAAAAGCGCGTTCTGAATACGGGCCGATGAGTATAAGATGCATATACTTGCCTTCTTGTTCTGGTAATCCGAAATATTCATGTCCGCCAGTCCCAAATCCCTATCTACAACGACTAAAATCTCCAACACTTTCTTCCAATGTTGCTTGGGGTCATGTGGCTCGATTAAGATTATTCTGCTGGAGATAAAAGGATCCTCCAATATAACTCGCTCGTTCTTCCAACCCTGAAATATCATGTACAACAAAAATATTTAAATATAGTATCTACAGTGAAATATAGTATTCATTTTGCAGGTACAAATGTAACGTACATGGAATTTTAAAATCCGTGTGCTATTGTGATAATTCAAGTGAGCGTTTTCATCCTCAGGATCACCCACTTGGTACACAACGTTGCATTCTGGACATTGAATAGCGCCGAAACGTTTCTGACCAGCGTCTAGCTGATACTGATTTTCTGAACCACCACCTTTCGTGGATAGCTGCCATTGCATATTTCTTTTTGTTGCTTTTGTAGTATTGGCATTACTTGTCTCTCTAAAGCAGAAGTTAAAACATGTATCTCTTTCTCTCGTTAAAATAAATTTTAAGAATCTTTAAAAGTATCTTTGCACGACTTAAAATATTTTTTCAAAAAGACAATCGTATACTAAAAAATATAAATTATATAAACGAGATTAAAATATTGAGAAATTAATACATAATAACAGAATAATATAAAATTAATACGATAGAACAAAAAAGAACAAAATAATTTTGTGCAAGTCAAAATCTTATGGATAAATATAAGATTTAAGATTTATAACTCACAAACTTACTCAAAAATATTATCAGGTACAGAATATCCTTTATTAAATAACGGAAAATATTTTTTTTCGGTATCCTCTTCGATTTCTTTTTCAGTTTCTTTTTCATTATTATTATTCTTATTACTATTATTAGCGTTCTCAAGTGAAAGATTTCCGAAGTTATTCAAAGGAGCGGCGTCCGTAATGTTCATCGTCGAAGTCATGTTGCTAAGCTCGGTAGCTGGAGACATAATTGTGTCTTTTGACAACGTCGTCGTCGAATGTAACGGAGAAAACGCATTCGCTATATGGGTCAATGATGCCATCGTATCGTACTCGTCGTTCGCCCAGTCATCCTCTAGAATTTTCAAGAGATCATTAACTTTGTCCTGCTGCAATGTAGCCTCAACTTCCGGTTCGTCGACGGTCAGATCGGTGGCATCCAGAGAGACGTTCATAGCTTTTAGCTTTTGCTTATGTGGATTCGTGGATGGAGCGCGTTTTTGATTCTCTTTCAATTCAATTTTACCATCCGCGACCTTCAACTTAATCTTATCATTTACCGTTACCGTAGCTGCTTGATTTAATCTGATTGTCTTGTTGGTTTTAAAAAATCGCTTATTCTCGTCGATCATTGGCGACGGGGCCCTTTCCGCAATCGTGTTTGCTGCCATCGGTTGAGCTTCTTCCACAGGTGAACTCTTGCTCGAAGCTGTGAGAAGCTGAATAACATGCTGTCCCTCATTTTTCAATGCCTCTGTATTCACCTTAGGTTTCGGTTTCTTGATCCCATGACCGACACCAGCGTTTATCTTACCAAATTTCCGCTTCTTTGTCAATGAACGTCTACTGCTGTTTTGTGGAGGTAAACTTCGTCTCCTTTTAATGTCGCTGCTCTTGTAGCTGCTGAAAGGCCGCTCGGACTTCTTCACGTTGCCGCTGTAAAACGTTTTCGTACTTAATGAGAAATCCTTTAAGCTATCGTGTTCGTGTTTCCTCTCCTGAAACAGCGATGCTCTCGCTTTAGGCACGAAGCCGTCGTCTCCCTTAAACAGTTTCGTTGGTTTCGCTCCCGACTGCTCGCGCGCACGCCTCTTCAATGTGTTCTCCTTCTGCTCAGGCGAGAAACCCACGCTCGTTTCAATCGTACTGAAAGACTTTCGCCTGTGCAGTTTTGGCAACGGAACCGTCTTGCTTACAGAACTCAACGGCGTCATTTGCTTGCTCTCGAGAGTACTGCTCTTTCGAGGTGTTTCTGTGATACTTTGATTCTGTATCTCCGTGGCGAAGCTTCGCTGGGGTGTTTCTGGTACTACTTCGTTCATTTGTTCCGCGTTTGTCTTTGAGCGTTGCGGTGTCAATTGACCCATCAGTTCCCTTGGACTGGATGACAACGATCTCTGAAAGTGGCTAGCAGAGAACATTTTACATCTTGGTGAATTTCTAGCCTCCCTGGTGACCTTTTTAAGTGACCTAAAGGGTGACATGCGTTCCTCCATGTTGAATCTTAAACGATCCCAGGACACAGACGTATTGGAGACGATTGACTTTTCAGGTGTCGCAAGTGGAGAGACAAATTCTCTGCCTGAAGTACTCTGATCGCTGATACTTGGACTTCGATCAGTGAGAGCCAAAGGTGACATGGGCCCCAAATCTGATTCATCTCCCGAGGACTTGTCATCTCTGATATGCTCTGATTCCCGAGAAACGCTTTTTTTAGCAGACTTGTCACTGGACGGTGCAAAAAGACATTTCTGTGCTCGCCGTGGAGTATAAAGTAACTTTCCTGGACTGCTATCCATTGTCTAATAACTTTCTTAGAAGTTGCAATCTGAAATAAATATTTTAAGATCAGAATAACATCAAGATTCCTCAAGTAAATCTAAATTAAATTGACTGACAGCAGAAGATTAAAATCACAATTATTGATAAACTAGAAATATGCAGATGATGGAAGAATTAAAGAGAATTCACATTAAAATTTCATGACATGTATTTATTAATTTTCTATGCATAAGATTAACAAACATTGGTAAATTCGGTTACTTGCATTACATTGAATTAGCATACATTTAATCCTTACTATACACAATGATTTTTAGTCTTTTACTACATATATATATGATGGATCGTTAATTTTCTCTCATTAACTTTATAAATATACAAAAATTATTAAATGATTTTTACAAGATGGTCTTTCCAGTATTTTGAAGAAAAGAAATACAAACAGGATACAAATAATTTAATCTTATGTACTAAGACTTAAAAGGGTAGCTTTATAAAAAGTAAATGCAGTAGCATAATCAACTTTGACAACAAAATAATACATACATATTCCTTTAAATAACGTAATGATATCATTATCGAGTATTTAATTATTTGAAACATTAATATGCTTTTATCTTGATATAAACTTCGTTTTTAATATGAATTTAAAGTATTTAGTGCAAATGACCGAATTTGTTGTGACAGTTAATCGCATAATGTTCAAGAGGAAATTGGAAAAAGTATTTTTCATACAAACACTAACCTAAACAAACCGATGAATTCGGTAAAGCAATTCCGCCGGACACATCAAAGATCTTCGGTGACTGATAACAATACGACTTTCGGCGTGCGAATGATGTGCACTAATATCCTTCAGGAATATCAGAAATCAACGTATTTTTTACATAAGTTTATATCCAGGACGCATCAATAAAAGCGCGGGAACAGTCAAGAAAATTGAATGCAGTACACAAATATTTCTTGATGAAAGTGATGAAACTTCGCGTCAACGGCTGCGCAGCAAATTGTTTGCGCATGCGTTTCGATTTTCGCGCTAAACATTTTTGTATGGACAATTGTGATAGTGATAAACTTGAGATCAGTCATCCTAGCTTTTTTCATGAAAAATTTAAACCAGCCACCGACCAGGGGATCGAAATAATGTGAAAATTACAAAAGTGAGCAAATTCACTAGAATACTCATAATTTAATTGGTCAATAACTAGTGAATTTGCTCACTTTTGTAATTTTCACCTCATTTCGAGATACATAATCGACCCCCAGATACTATTAAAAACTACTGATCTTACAAAAATTTACGTAATTATAAAAATTTAAATAATTAAGGGTAAGAAACTGCAGATAATACAGTACTAATTTTATGATTTATTAGCAGGATTGGGTAAGTTAACTATTTTTTTTTTAACTAAGTTAAGATAAAGTTAACAGCCTTGAAAATTTAACTT